GAGCTAAGGCAAGTAAGCAATCACGCAACTCGCAGCGTAGCAGAACTAACGATGTATTGTTGGCTTGGAGCCGCGAGGTCAATGGAAGATTATAGTCCTTCTGTGGTCTTGAAGCATATCATTTGGTGACGACTACTGTAGCAAGTTGGGATTTTTCGTTATTCCACCAGGGTGGAGAGCTGAGGTTACAAAACAGTTCGTAGAGACCTGTTATTTAAAATGATTCAATTATACAAAGTCACGCAAGTAAAATTCGACCTACTGGGTCAGAATTATACTAATAAAAATAAGAAGTGTTGATGGTAACAGATTATTAAATTACGTTATATTGGAGGTCACCACAGATATACGCGAAATTAAAATGTATTCTTAAGTTACTTCACGATGGTATTCCAACGTAGCAATAACCCGATCGGCGATCGGTTTAAGAGACACTCGATCTACTAACGACCAGTGTTGATAATCCGAACACGGAAAACTTCGTCTTATTTTTAATGAACACTAAAAAAATACTTGCAATCTTTTGTAGACATATTCATAATCTTCAATAAGGTAAAATTTTGAGTGAATTCAGTTATGGTGCTTTTACTGGACTGTACTAAAACAATATGAAGGCACAAACACGACAAAATAAATTAAAATTATGAAGAGATATCAGGTTATATTTGTACGTGTTACGAGAAAAAACACACAGCGAATGAAAGAAAAATTGCTCTTAGAACGCCCCTTCCATGAAAGTTATAAAGTTCGGGATTTTTAATTACTTTCTCGATTACTTAATTCAGTTTGCTAAGGTCTTAGCCAAAAAATTTTCTCCGTTGTATGGAGTAACACTGAACGACGAAGGCAAGATTCTTTACTCTTTTGTTTTTCAAAGTAATGGCCATTGTAACACGGTCAGCCTCTGCGTATTTATGACTCGGGTTACAGAAGTGTCAACTGAAACGGCTAATCCATTTAACACAGTATGAACAATAAAATAAATCAATCAAGTAGCATTGTATCTAATTCTTCTTGTCATAAAAAGGTACACAGCACAATCAAACTGTTTCATTGTTCTGAAATAAGGCACTATATGCATAACTTTAACCCCAGAAAATTATGTTATTTGAAAGAGTCTCCATTGAGAAGCTTTTCAATCCACGCATGGTCTATAATAGTATGCACATAAAGTATATCCTCACGTATTGTTAAGAATGATAAGAAATCGACAGAGCTTACCGGTTGATCCTTTGTTTCCTGCTCCATCAGCATCCGGGCGACCTGAAAGGACATAAAAGATCGCTTAATTAATGAGAAGCAAGTAGTGTCACAGAGGAATAACTAACAAAGAGTCGTGTGTGGAATGGACAGCAAACAAATTCGGTTGCCAGGTCTACGAAAGGAAAATATCAAAGGGATGCTTCATGTTTCCTTTTTATAAAACGATGCAGTAAAAACATTTCTCCACGTCAGACGCTGGAAAGTCTGTCTCCAGAAACGCCTCTCAATAATTTATGCCATCTCCTTATGAGAGGGCTTATCAGTATCGATAACTACATATTTTTATTCCAGATACAATTATCGCCCTCTGAAACGTCGGCAAACTTTTACCAGACAATATTGCGGAGTATCCCAGGAAACAGCCAACTTCATACTCTTCATTTGCATGATTTTCATGCTACGTTCCAAATCATATTCCTCAGTATCTGTTATGCAGTAATTTTACAGATCAGAGTTACCGTTGCTAAGACCACAGCATCGCATGGGGAACGCGGTAGAAACACCACGTATTATACACCTCGGATCCAAAGGAAGGTGAGGGGCCAGCTTGACTCTATGGCTGTGATACCTCCGGGCAAAGAGCCCCTGGCGTTCACTGATAAGAGATACCAGATGGACCCCATAGTTGATATGGACCATGTGACTAACAGAAAAATACTTGCATTTGCCGGGAAAGGAACCAAATTCATCCATCCCGTTAACATTGGTTTCAATGAATGAGGTACCTCGGCTTCTAATGCGTATATTAATGACCTGAATAACGAAACGAACAGACGATTACAAACTCCCCGCCAATAGGGTCACGAAGGTACGAAGTTACTAGAAACCAAACAAAAAATTGCAACCAGAGTTATGGACGTGACACAAAGATGAATGCTCATTACATGATACCTGCGCCGCTACCAGGCTGAAGGTTTCGATGGATCCTATTTATTCTGACCCACTTACTATAACTGTGTTACCAGGGAATTATGACGCGTCTGTGTGTTAACAATTAACACCCCATTATTTGACAAATGTGGAATTAAAAGAGATGTCCATTAACAAAGTGGATTTACACAGCGTAAAATCCATATTGAAACAAGCAATAAAGCACAATAGTTTCTTTAAGGAACTGTGACAGGACCTTCATTCACTATTGAGGGGAACAAACTTCTACATCAAGGTCATTGATTCTTTGGCCAAGAAACCTCCAAAACTGTGTCTACATCTCTCATTTGAGTTCTGCTTGACATTTTAATCAACACTGCAAGTCAAATGAAAAAGCATGCCACTAGCTACACTAAAAGCGGGGCGAAATTCTATAGTGCATTTCCGTAAAATTAGGCTGTTTATATAAACTAAATACGGAACTAACCTTTAAATTTTTAAGAAAAACGTATTAATCTAGTTCTATACGCAATTTTGTGCAAGTTCCAATTACGTATCGGCTGTTAGCCATTAACCGCCTTCAATACAAGGTATGTTCATGATGTACCTCCGCTCATTTCCTAAGTTGTGTCGGATTATTTACAGATTTAGAATTTCTTCTGGCAACAATTCTTGACTTTTCTTGGAATAATATTTCCCGTCTAGTAAAAGTGAAAATTGAATTTCTTAGGCGGCGAGTATGTCTTTTGGGTTTTACGCAATGTAGTATGGTAGAACTTTCTCGGTGTTTCAGGGGTGCTTGCTGCCTCCATCATCAGAGCGCAACCACCTAGAAAAATCTTCATATTCGCTGATGTGAAATTCTTAAATATCACCAGCTTAATTCAGTTCAGTCTTCAGAAACAATTTTAATATCACCCTCTCATTTAAGGTAACGCATACCAGAAGAACTCTTTTCATATTTTTGAGCCACGTTGTTTTCACTTTTGTCGTATGCGTGTTCCATACCTCGCATGTATCAGACTGGTGAAGCGGTATAAAGTTCCCTTCTACAATTTGGGGTGTGGGCTGTTCCTATCTCGACACCCTGCCCCTGCTAGGAATCGAACCCCAGTCGTCCAGCCCGCAGCCAATCACAATAAATAAATCTACATCACATCAATAAATGTTTCGATAAAATAGTTTTCATAAACATCACACAACTATATGTGATCTTCATGGTTCTTCAATATAAACGTTCTACTTGATGGATTATGCCAATGTCCGGAAGAGATGTTGACTGGAAACTGTTAGGGACAGCTTCTAAACTAAATATGACTATGAATGTATAAGTCAGAGGTAAATTTCGTCATATCAATCACAGCGTTAAATTACATGAGAGGACTGTCATGTTCGGCGAACAAGAAAGTATTTGGGAGCGAAAGGTCGTGGCCAATATTGCAGCATTCAGCTGAAGAACAAACTTTTTATCTGAACTGTCATCCGACACCAAGGTTCTGATTCGAGTTCATCTAAAAGTATGTAGCACACACCAGAGTCAGCGCGCACTGTTCTCATTGAGCTTCATGCAAGAAGTAGTACACCTACAAAAAAAAAAAGGCAAATGTGAACCCTTAAGAACTATTTACTATGTGCATCGAGAGGTCGTTGAGTAATGGACGTGAAAACGTAAGAACTCTGTTAACAGATGATGTCAATAAAGTAAACTTATATGAGACCAAACATGGGCTGGTTCTGTATATGTGAAAGAAAAGAAACAAGAAATAAAACGAAAGCAAGGAAGCAAAAATAAAAGAAAGGGAAGAAGAAAAATCAAATAAATAAAGGATTATTGTTGATACGTATACATGAGCAACACAGCGGATTTACTGCCTTTTACTAATTCCTTGGAACAGAGACCTTCTGGAGAAATGAATACTCGCTCCGTGAGTCAAAAATTACCAGCAAGTATGGCAGCACTCCGAAACTTTATCAACACTGAGCAAACCGGAAACAGTTAAACATGACTGCTCTGATTTCACTTTGTACGGTTCTTACATTTTTCAAGACAAACCACACCTGTCTCAGCCCGTCTCTGTCAAGATAAGAAAGGTTCACTCTTTGGAGTACACTGACTCACTTAGGTCGTTGTTGCACTGATGCGATCCGAGGTCGTTGGATCGTCTTAGGTAGTTTTTTCACTAATACCATACCAGGGCACACAGATTGAGACCTGCAGGAAATAAGATCCCAGTCCTGCGGGTAACCGCCGAGAAAACTATTACCCCCACGGGCCATGATCATCCCAGTTGGAACAATGGCGACCATTCATGCAAGGTGTATATCCCACAAAAAAAAAGCGACAGAGGGGCATGGACAGGATCACACTGTGTTCTTCGCTCGCGCTGTATCGCGAAGAACATCTAAAACGAGGAGAATTGTGAAATTACATTTTTTTCAATATTGCCGAGTTTGCAAAGTTGTGAGTTTGAAAACAATGAACTCTAACACAACGAATGTGCAGTATTTACTGTGCGCCGGTTCCCAAGCAAGCCGACTTATTAGCACAATGCATCTCAAACAACTTCTTCATACATCTCCTCCCCACTACCGTCCTACTAAATGAAGAACCTGTTAAACATACTGTGACTGTGAGCTAATATTCTAACGGTGTCTCAAGATTTCAATTTCAAACCTACATCCCTCTTTGAAGCTGTTAAAAATGTAGGTCTATGAGTGATCTACGCTTGTTTATCTCAGCAGCAACACTAGTAAAACGGTCAAGAGCCTATATTTCGCGAAGAGCGCTGGGAAGATGGTGGGAGATGCAGAGAGGGGCTTCTTCCCTTCCTTGACTGTTCAGCGATACAAAAACAACTGGTTTAAAATAATCAACAACCGCGACTTGCAGTCATAATCGTTTGGACTTGCAAGGTGGAAAGAACCGCATCATGTCGACTCTCTGCATCTTCAGTTCCTCGTGTCACGGAAAGCATCACTAGGCAACGAACGCTAGTCGATATGTCGGTATGGTAACAGCCGACAACTGTTCTGCTGTTGTGTAAAAAGTGATCGCGTGGAACACAGAATTTCACACGTTGACACAGTGAATATTGGATAAAAAGTAAGTCGCAAGCTCAATTTCAGTGTTTAAGTGATTGGTCATAGGTAGGCCTAACAGAAGAAGAAGGCAGGTCGTGACGTCGTGTGGATTCGTAGGTACGTACCAACGTTTCGGAGAAGAACACTTTGAACAGCTAAATGACTATTAGCTTCTCCAAAAGTATTTTTCTCCATTAGTTAAGATAGGTTTATAGTAACATATAAGTGAGTCTGTCTGCTCTAGTAAATCTTGAATCATTTAAATGATCTTCAACAAACCTGACATGAGGCTAACCCATTTGTGTATTTCTCAATTCCACTTCATCAACAAAACAAAAATGCCGGCACCTATGCCACTACCGCAGACGCTTAGAATTCTGACACATTTTTTAGGTAATGGATTTAAAAATATGCAACGTTTGTTGATTTGTAATGTAGGTGGCTCCGCAAAATCTGTATTTAGTTTCGGTTTTACTGCGGTAACTAACTAACTAACTTCAAGAGCTAGGCAAGTTGAAAACAGATAATGAACATGCCAACAAATTATTTTTGAACCATTTTATGTAGACTATAAAATACAGTAAATTTGCGAAACTTTCATGTGGAAACCATACAAACGCATTATAACCGCCAATAAGTAAACAAATTGATTATTAATCTATAGCTTCTATTAGCATCACCACAGCCTACAGAATGATGTATTTCAAGTAAAACAGGAACGATAAAGTGTTCCCAGAACTTGTTATAATTCCTATTTGTACAAAATATTTCCAAGAAAATCTGATTTTTACTAAATATCTGTCATGAAAGATTGTTTTAAACACTTAATACGATCGTAGACATAATCAACGTTACTTTCATGTCAAGAATTTCTGTAAGATTTTAGGTTCTCACGGCAGCGAGTATGAAGATGGCTGTCTTTCGCAATGTTACGTCATGTAGCCTGGTAAAAGTTTACCGACGTTTCAGAAGTGCTTACTCCTTCAGTCATCAGGGCGATGAGTCCTCGCCCTGATAATAGAGACAGCAAGCATTCTGAAACGTCTGTATACTTCTACCAGACTACATGGCGTAACATTCCAAAAGACAGCCATCTTCATCTTGGTCTTGGTTTATTTGACACAATTGAGTTTCATAATTATTAATTGGACAAGTTCTCTGGTATGTGTGCACATGGCATGGGGTGTTCTGTAAAGTTCTGGTATGTTTATACCAGCGAAATAACAGATAATGACAAAACATTTAGCCGAACAATGAATTTTGTATCATGCACCTTCCGAAGAAACACTAACGGCAAGGAAAATTTTATCCGAACAACAAATATCAAGGTTTGAACATCAACACTTGCCGTCTAATTTAACTCGTGTGAGACTTTCATGTTGCCGAAATTAACATCTTCTTGAGACAGAACGTTTGTCATAATGTTGATATCCACCTACAATTAGCCACACACAGCGTTAAAGCCCAGTCGACAGGACAGTTAAATAAGTAAATATCGCTGTCTTTGTTTTTAATATTTCTCCTTCACACATTTAAAATGCGTAAAGATATCAAACTTCGTTCCTGTAAGTTTTGTGCAATAAATGCAGTACAGTGCCTCGTAAACCCAAATTTGGTGTCAAAAATTTCCGTTGTACACAAGTCACGACGAGAGCCACAAATAACACAAACAATATCACAGTAGATACATGCTGACAGATATATCGATGATACTATTAACGCAATGGTCCAGCGCCATTTAAATAATTAAATCCCCACCACACCCCCTGAAATGCATTCTAGTAAGTGGTCACAGACAGACATGTACAATGAACACCTTAATATAGTGCGATTTAGTGAAGTTTAGTGGTAAATAGCGTGGAATGTGATTATTATTGTGAAATGAAGGTTCCTCTAGAACAATAGCAATGGGGCGACTTGAACCAATGAGATTCGAATAAGGTTTCCGACGTCACCGGGTGACGAATCGGATCGCCGTATTCAAGTCAAAATTTGCCAACAACTACAGGATGCGGGGGCCGCGCTTGTGGTGTTGTCGGCCTCTCAAGTTTTGGTCTTCGAGTCAAACAGACGCCATCTGCTTGCTCCTTAAATTTCAGTGCATGAACAGCCGAATTACAGCGCTGACCTAATATCAATGGGAAGGGTTTCGCACCTGCTTGTGCCGAAAAGTTAATCAAGTGAACATCTTCAAAACTAGCATCTGTGTTGTCTCCAGTTGCATCGACTACGAGATTTCGCTACCTTCACGCAAGGGTAACTTCAATAACGGTCTTCCACTTATACTCCTTGAGTGTCGAGAGAACCTTGCTTACCGACGAGCCACTACACCAGATTACCCTGAGATACCATTATATTTCTGGGATTACTGAGTGATATCACCGAAGGCCAGGTTGAAGGAAAGAGAGGACTAGGAAGAAGATTGATACAGCTAACCGACGATCTTAAACAAGGAAAGAAGATGACGTTCCAGGAATTAAAACGAGAAGCCGAGAATAGGGAAAACTGGAGAGCTCTTTTTGGGCAGAGCAATGGACCTGTCGTAAGACAGAACACTAAATAAAAACACCGAATCATATATAGCTGTAACCACACTAGCGTCGGACACACCACTGGAGTCGATCCCGTGGCTACAGCAAACGAACGCCCGGACCGGATGTCACCACACCGGGTTATACGTCGGCTGGCGCCTAGAACCTCATAAGTACATAAATAACAGCACTAAAACTTTGCTCATGAACAGCACAAACTGCCTGTGAATTCGGTTACACAAAGCGGAATTAAGCAATGCTCAAGCTAAAGACGACTTCGTTTTGTCCCATTTCCGCTCGAAGAGGTCATAACGTGTACAAGTTTTAGAATACAAAACTCGTTTGTGCGAACCAAACAAATCGTGATTTACTGCTGCAGGTAGATCCGTCCTGAAACAAAGCGAGAAACTCGTTTGCTATATCATCAGTCTATACAGCACACAGACGAGCAATGATCGACATAATTTGACTACAAAGAAATAGATAGCCAACACGACAGATAAGCTGATAGTCACTTAGCTCATGATATTCCCCGCATTTTATGAGCTCACGTGTTAATTAATGCGTTCACAATAGTCGGCCAGGGCCACTGGGGACGGTAAAATCCAACACATGTTCTACTTAGGCTCCGTCATATAAAACCTACCGACTAGTGGCTATTCGAGGAAGTGTAGGGATTTAACTCCCACCCCTCATTCCTGTCTTTGATTGGCCCAATCCCTCTGACCCTACATAAATTCCTTCATATTTTAAGGAGTCTTTACAAATACTGTGTCTACTTTCTCCTCTGACGAACGCATCTCCCTCTTGCATTGCAGGGTACCAATATGGCACCACTACTCAGATATTGTGAAGAAATACTGAGTCATTCTCTGGTCGTGCTGCTGGTCCTCGTGACATCGAACGGCTGCAGCGACCCTACGCAGACCCACACGACAGCTGTCGAGAGTCGCGAGACGAAGACGCCAAGTTGGTGGCCAATCGTGGAATGCGTCTTTCTGGACGATGTAAGCAAGTGCCTGCAGGACAGCACCGTGCGAGCGTTCGTCGGCCTAGGTACAGTTTCCCCACTGAAACTAATTTCAATACTAATCGAGACAGATGAGGTCATTTGTCGGGCTAGGATCACGTTTCCAGCAATTCAAAAAAACAGACAGGCGAGACAACTCAATTATCATGTTCCACAGCCTTATAAAACAATCTAAAAATTAAGGGTGTGTTTATTATTTTGTATCCATATAAATATTTAATGTTTCGGACACCATAAAGAGCACCATAGGAGCACAACAACAGAACCAATTTTCACGGATTTATTCGTCTTATTCTTCTCTTGATTTGTAAGATTCGAAGTTTTCACAGGGGTGAGTATGAAGATTTCTGTCTTCTCTTAATTTCAACATCGATTTATCGCGACTACTGTAGTGATATCGGTATTTTCAGGGACGGTAATTAATTGTTCTACTCCTACCTAAAAAACGATCCCGGCGACTACGTTGCTTTCACCGAAGAAAGCTATGACAGTTGCAGCCCATATATTATCCCCATGTACGCCTAGGTCTTCCGAGTGATCTTTCCCTTCAGGCTTTCCCACCAAATTTTGCAAGCTCTATGCCCAATATATCTCATCTAATGATAATATATGGCGAAGAGTACAAACTATAAAGCTCCTCAGCGTGCAATAATCTCCAGCCTTCCGCCACTTCACCACTCTTAAGTCCAAATATGATCATAATCACTCTGTCTTAAAGCGTAGACCAGATTTCAGACCCAATTATATTTTAATCTGCCTGATCACCTGTCTTTTTATACGTTCTGCGTAAACACGAGTGAAGAAATTGGAGGTTAAGATGAAACAAGATGGATTCTAGAAGGGGCAATGTAAATGATACTTCGAAACAAACGGACTAAATGACCAACAGACCTGAAGGGAACAGGAAAGCATTAACGAAAATAATATATATGGATACGTACGTCGCTCCCTGTACTTTTTCATATAACTTACCCACTCTTTAGAGAAAATTTGCCCACAAATGGTGTTAAAAGAAGCGACACATTGTGAACGAAGACCTGTTTAAAATGGCAAAGGCCTCAAAGCAGACACCGATCAGATACGCTTTCGGTACTATAACACGTTTGTGAAAGACTGACCAATGTACATTCTAAATGTTTCTAAATGCTCGGCTAATCTTACCTGTGATTACTCAGGCTTCTTCATGTTTTCAGAAGAATACTGTACATTAATTAGCTCTAACAACCCCTTTTCCTAAGTTTTCGTTGCCTTTCTCAGTTACTCCAAGCAAAACCAAGACATTACCTTAAATTAGGCCACGGGTAATTTCATCATCATCCTTACCAATTCACAATTTACAACTGCTCTTAATGTATGAGGAGATATAATCATTACACAGTCTACAAAATCTTAAAAGGGACACGAATTCCTTCAGCCCAGCACTTTGAATTCGTTATATTATTGTCATACACTTCTACGCATTACATTGAGTAAAGCAGCTGTTCGAATAATCTGCAGGTAACATTTAGGAGATAAACATAAGCAAGAAGGTGACGTTCACGCGCCTTTTCTGCGCAGTAAAGTAGTTAAAGTAGTTCTCTCGGTAACGGGACCGTTGTTCCGCTGCCCTCTTTACTGCTGTTCAATTTGATTAGTACAGCTGTACAGAAAGTCAGGTGTCAGGGCTGTGGTAATGAATTTGCCCGACAGAACTCTTTCCTGAATGGTTGATACGTGCACTTCCGTGAAAACGTCTTCTAACCAGAGGCAACTCTTGAGTCATAGGTCACTGCAAACACAAATTAACCCGTCTACTGAACTCTGAAAGACCTGACGTCAGCTAAGTTTCCAATGAAACATGTGCAGACCAGTGACGGCTCGGCGAAGGTCACGGGTAAGTTAATAAACATCGTTGCATTTGGTAACAGTGTATGTGGACAAAGTTTCTGACGCACCGCGAACACCTGCGCACAGCAGTAAGGCTAGTAGACATTTGCACTGAATATCGATCAAGTAAACAATGGAAATGTGAATAAATTCCAACCTTCTACATGTTCATTCAAAAAGCTGCTTCTCGTATACACATCTACGTTGTATAAAAATTAGCTCAACTGTACAACGAAATTAAAGATATTCGAGTACAAACAGTTACACAGTAGAGATCGGTACACCTGCTTGCAGCATTCCTCTGTGACTGTGTATCTGCCCTTCGGGTATCTGCAACATTGCAGACTAGCGCAAACCTCTAATTGAGAACAAGATACTACCAAGAATTTGCCTGGAGGTTCCGAATAAAGCCACGAAGGCCCCCGGGATAGCCCAAAATTTGAATCCGGGGCCTCCCAAATATGATACAATTTCTTTCCATTAAATAATTAAACAGATCTTTTAATAACGTTAAAAATTGTCTTTTAACGGATGTTCGTTGTTTGTAAGGCGGTTTTCATCCCCTTAAAGATCATAATACGGACAAGAGGGTGATATAACATAGTTAAATAAATGTTTATTTTCGCAGACCTGAAGGACGACATACGCATTGATACTGAGAAGGAGACAGTGAAGCTACCAGGAGATAGAGAGGCAGGTATCTTCGAAATGCTTGGGGACCTCGTGAGCGACGGAATATCGAGGATTTTCCAGGACGACGACAAGAAAGTTGGAGATGAGGAGGACGATGACGACGACGACGACGACGACGATGATGATGACGACGAAGAAGCAGATGGAATACAAACAGCAGAAAACGGTGATAGCAACACACTTGGTCATGCATATAGTAGGACACAATCTGTAGCTGGGAATGTTCACAGAAGCTTGGAAACAGGTAACCTAGCAACACAATGCATGCTTGTATAAAACTGCTTCAAATTACATAAAATAGCTTAAGAGTAACACATTCACACTTGACGTGTACATTATTCTTTGACGAATGCTTCCTCTAAATTGTAAAACCGCCCTTTACGAGAGAAGCGAGAACTGATGAAAGAAACAAGACTGGGAGGGTGTAGCCTTCGAGTTCACCAACGCTCCAAAAGTGTTTTTCACGCCATATCACGTAGGTCGTTTTTGTATTAATGCGACCCGAGGTAAATGTTACGTCTTAGATTATTTGTTCTTGTACCAACGCGATCCTATGCCATTCTTGCACTAATATGATCCCAAGTGATTGTTGCGGAACAATATGTTTCGACTATGAAAACTCCTGTCCCATTCTTTCGAAAAACGTTACACGTGCAGATACGGACGGGTTCATGGGGATGTTCTTCGCTCACGCAAGAGCGTTAAGAACACTTGACACTAGACTAATATATTACATTCTGTAGAAACTATAAAATACTAAAAATAGACGAATGAGACGAATATATAAAACTCATTCAGAACTGAGACTCAGACGATGTTTCTATACACGTATTAGAACGACGGTTAGTCTGCGCAGATGGGTACTTCTATTTGTATGACGAGTCAATTCTCCGCTCAGACACACAGGAGTCGAATTAGTAACATGTCTGAAGGTCCCAAAAAAGTTACTACCGAAGCTTTGAATATCAGTTGAAACGGTCACTACACAGAGTACTTTGCCGGGATGTACCTCTGACAGGACGCGTTTGTAAACCCATGTTCATTTGAACTTATGTTTTGTTTTGCTGCGTAGAACTACCAAATTTTGTACAGAATTTTGACACGTATTAGCCGAATCCCAAATAGCAGACATATATCAGGACATGAAGATTATAACTAAGGGACTGATTCTCAAACAGCAGATGCGTAAGGGCACACAAACTGCAAATACCCGTTCGCTGTCAAGATGTTACCAAATAAGAGCAAGGAAACTGCAAAAATTGAATGTTCTGAAACAATAACTGTCAAGAGTACAGAGACTATGAATAATAATCTGCTCCTAACTACTAGACGGAATAAGAATTGTAAATACTAACCAATCCTAAACTTCTGCAGGTATAAAGCACACAAACTGTAAATAGTGGCCCGATTGTAAATACTTTTATCTGCGTATTGTTTTGTATTTCTGTGAATTTTCCATTAAAACCCGAGCCTCTAGGGTGGCATGAGAGAGTATTGCAGCACAAGATCTAAACAGCAGCAATACTACTGACCGGAGGTACGCGGTAATCGATATTACCAGCATGATAATATCACAAGTCAAAAGTCTAACGACAAGAGACATAATGTATTAAAACACATGGAATTTGTGGTAGGTTGTGCAATTATATTGCTAACAAATTTTATTTTAGAATTAAACATTTTGTAATCTCTGCAAGGGACTGAGAACGCCTTACCAGGAGGCTGTTGAAAATGGCAACTGGCAATTCAAGCGACAACAGCAGTTTAAACAACTTTGACATGAAGATGACTGTCTTTTGGGATGTTGCCCTATGCAGTCTCGTAGAAATTGGCCGATGTTTCAGGCGTACTTACTGCCTTCATTTTCAGGGCGCGCTTGTTCCTATATCGCAACGTACATTTTGTGCACGGCTTATCCATCGCCTTGACGATGGAGGCAGAAAGCACGTCTGAAATATCGGTCAATCTCTAGGAGAAAACATAGTGCAACATCCCAGAAGACAGTCATCTTCATACTCGCCGCGTGAGAATCTACATTTTTCAGATCGTTCTCTTATTCGAAATGTTTTAGTCAGGTTCACAATGTCTGAGACCTCTATCGGACAAGGCGCACGAAAGAACAGGAACCCGGATTCAGTCCTTGGATTGACAAAAGTACAAGAATTTTAGACTGGACATGTTTAACGAAAGATTCCTTTCCAAACTTTACATATTTACGACTAGCATCATGTGTTTGAAGAAACATGAATAGACATTTCGGAAGAATTTCTACAATGTTTGAAAATTCAAACGGATTATTCCGATACATATTCTTACCGATGAACGATGTCTTCATCCATAAGAACAAAAGACATTTATAATGGATCTGTCGTCTTATAAGCATCATATCATTAACAAAATTGTGTTAAAACTAAAATTAATTTTAAGATTTTACTAAAATATATTTTATTCAGCTCAAAAATTATTACACGCACAACGATCAGTACACCTGCTGTCACTAGGCAGTGCCCAAATATTTGCAATTCATGGAAACAAATTGAATGAACATTTCTTATTATTTCGTGCAAACAAAATCTTGAATTTGATGCAAATTAATTTAATATATATAGAATTCCTATATCCCATGGTAAACATTTCATACTAAAATTAACTAAATCCACATATTACTTCTGAAATATAATCAATGATAAATGAGAGAGGACTCTCTAATCACAATTTTTTTTTAAACATCATGTATACCTTTGATTCTGTAAATGAGGTATTCTTATGTGTGAAGCTATTATTGACAGTAGTGTTTATAACAGTGTTCATGCAAATAATATTTAGGTACTGGAGGCAGTTTTACACGCCTATATAAATCACAGGAGGAGATATATTACTAAAAATGATATATGGTGCTTGTTCATAAACGACGTTTTAAGTACGATGTTGAAGAAATGATTACTGCTCATTGCAGATAAATGTAAATTAAAAGTGAAAAACAGCCGTCGAGTAACATGAAGACAGAAACCAACTCATGAAAAGCCTCTGTCGTATCAGTGTGGCGTATCAGGGAAAGTACGGTAGTACGCCCATGTTTGGACAATACTGATAAAAATATTGAACTTAAAACTGATAAATCGGTTTTCGTTCATTGATATTAAACTTTATTGTACTGAATGAAATCTGAGATTGCCTGCATCAAATCACGCTTTGGTAACAAATGGACAACGACCAGAACGAAAGCAGAAGTAGTTAACTGTAGATATTACGATCAATAGACCACAGCACGAGAGTAGTAATTATTAGCTTATAAAAATTTGTTTGCGTTGGAAGTAAAGAAATAGGTTTGAAACTAAACCAAATAGACATCCCGCACTTTAAGAGTATTGCGTTTTCTTTTTCTTAGGTCGTGGGAAGAAGAAGAAGAAAAAGAAGAAGAAGAAAATGATTAAAAAAGCTATTATTAAGTTGATAATTTTGATTATACTCATAAAAATTAAAATTGTTAAATTTCTATACGTGTTCGGTAAATTCCTGCAGTTTAAAATGGTGCTACTTGTAACAATCAACACCATCATAAACGTTATACGGTTCATCATGGATTGGAGAAAGAAAAAGGAGCCGGAAAATGTTATGTATTCGTATGAACAGGCACATCATCAGCATCACTATGATGAACAACATCACGTCGATCCCATGATCGAAGAAGACAAGGGATGGCTGAGTGGACTGTGGTCTAGATCAGGGACTTACAACGGAGACCGAGGTGTTAGTGCTGCCGAACATGCACACGACATAGCGTATTCTGCGCATAAACCAACACAAAATTCCGCAAATAATGCCCAGAGAGATTCTCAAGATCCAGAACGCCACGCGCAAACGGCACAGAATTCAGCACATTATGCGCAGAATGCTGCAAACTATGGAAACAAACCTGCTCAAAACGTACCATATTACTCATACGTACAAAATTCCTAGGCCTAGGCCAAACCGTTGTGGTCTTTGCATTTCCGAATTATGGTTATGTATTTCTGCTAGACATTTTAAATTGTACAAAGAATGCTTTAAATAAATCTGCTTCAATGTTTTTACACGTAGTCATTGTTAAATGTTAAAAAGAGTTTTAACCTAACTTATTTATGTAATAATTTATTTAAATTTCTATTTGCATGTTATTTTTAAGTGCCAATATGTGTTTGCAAACTGCATTAAAATGTTTTTCCGTGTGTTTACATATCCGAAATGTGTACTATTATAACCCAATCATGATACTGTAATTTATTTATAGCCATATATTTATTAGTTTGTTTATGTCTTTCATTGTACCGGAAGACTTCTTTCTGCTCAAACAAATTCTTACGAATGTGAAACGTATGTTACCAAATCTTGTTCGAAGTGTCTGAAATGTAAATATTTCACAAACATAATTAATGTACAAAACAGATTTACGTTTACTCCATTCATATTACAATGTCTATTAATACGAACATCCTATATTTATTTGCTGTACTTCTACCTATGTAATAAATTCAGCAATATTTTGTAATACTTTCGAAATATTCCCTGTGTATACAAGTCCCCGAAATTTTTAATACTCGTCGTCCTTTCCATGCAGTGGATGAAAGAACGGAACACGTGGGGACAGAAGAAACGGAAATACCCACGAAATCAACAATTATTGCCCCTAATATAAATATTAATACTTCCTCGGTTTATGTAAATTTGTTTCCGTTTGGGGCTATTAATCAAGGTAGAACTATTAATCCTGCGCACTAACTAACTAGATGGCTTACGGAACCCGAAGGTTCATCACCGAATTAACCAACCCTATCCTGGGCCAACAATATCCGGTCTCCTTCAACTCCTATCTCCGATCGATCCCGCCTGAGATTATCCTCGCATCTACGTCTAGGTCTCTCCAGAGGTCTCTTCCCCTCAGGCTTCCCGACCAATACCCGGTGAACACATCTTGCCCCATCCATGTGCACTATATGACTCGCCCATCTCATTCTTCTTGACTTAATCACCCTGACAATACTGGGGGAGGAGTACAAATTTTTAAGTTCATAATTATGCAGCGTTCTCCATACGTCCTGCGCACTATCAACAAAAATTGTTATTCATAATGTCAGTGCAATGAGTCATGGCTGTAGCTGCAGTCAAAGCTAAGAGTCCTGCTTCGTGACCACAGGATCGGTGCAGTGAACCACGGCTGTAACTAGAAATAGAACCAGAATCGTGCCTGTAACGACACCAAAAATATGAATCCGGGTCATGTTTCATTAATCAAGAGCATGGCTTTCATTACAACGTATTCTATATAGTATATAAAATGGACTTCAAATATGCGTCAAATAAATATCAGAGACCTTGAAAAGACACGTCTTATTGCTTGGCTCGATGAGTCGTTTCTGAAGATGTTTTAAAGCGGACAGACGCCTTTCCTCTGCACAGTATTAAAAAAACTAAAACAGTCTCCATCCTAGAGTGAAATAAATTAAACCTCAAAACGAGATCGTGGTGTGATCAGCATCATGGTGCAACCCTGACATGATGAGGCCTCCATTGGGGAAGTGGCTGGGAGGGTCACAAAGCCCGTCTGGACCCGGTAGCAAGCAGGAAATCAGGCCCGTAGAGAAACCAAATCCGGTTATCCTCCCAGTAGCCATCACATTATTCACAGTGCGATCCCAGCCCAACTTAAGTGTGTCACTTGTCAACAAAATTGGAAGCGCCCTCGGATTGTGGATTGAGTACACGTCAGCTTCAAGTACGCTGAATAAGCAGTAGCAGCAGACACGAGCAACGAACTAAATCCAAGTGATCCACGATCGAGTCTAATGGCGAGCTTTTGTGAACACAGTGATTAGTCTTCGGATTCCGTAAAACAGGGGACAGCCATCAGTCTCGCCAAGAAACAGAAAAATCCTTTCAACTTTCCGTCTTTCATCCATCCTAAAAGGTTGCTAGAGGCCCAGGGACCGGAAAATGTCCGACGGCCTATTCAATATATACTATATATACGGACTAAGTTATCACTGTACATATTTTAGCTTTCAATCTAACCAGTCGTCATATACATCATGCTACTGAAACCTGCATACTTTTCTTATGCACAAAGTCAAAACGTGTAGTGGTATAGAGGAGTTGCAATGAATCCAGCACGTGTTGCTTGGGCTCTTGACTTGGATTGTTTCCATACTCCACCCCATTCCCTTCCTAGTAAGCATGTTTTGACACCTTCTCAGGTCTCTCTGGGTCTCCTATTAATCTGTTTTGTTACTCTGCTTTATGAAACTTCTTGCATATTCTAACCACCTGAACTGTGAATGTTTCATTGTTTATTTTAATTATTTTCTATCTCATTTAATCTTGTTGAGTTCTTCTCGTTGTCTACTCTGTTCTTGAATGTAATTTATGTTGAATGTATTAATTAGTCTTTATACATAATCATTAATTTCTATTATTCATAAATGTATATTATTATTATTAACATTATTTATTGGCCAACATGAATATTGTACCCTAATGATACTGATGATGATTCAATTCAATAAAAAGAATTGAATTGAATCATCATCAGTATCATTAGGGTACAATATTCATGTTGGCCAATAAACGGCTATATTCTTTGATATAACCTGTGATAGGATAAAAAATGATGAACGTCGCTTATCAGGTCAGTCAAAATATCCATTTTTAAAACCGATGTAACAAATAATAAAAATTCGAACAGATCGTAATCATAGAATTGTTTCTCAAATCGGCACGAAAATCAAGCTCTTCACCTGATGGTTTTGGACATACGAGTATGACAATTTAATGTCTAGAATGGTCCTGCAAAATAAAATAACGCGTACTAATTAAACACTAATCAGTGTTGTTCCATACTGGACTCCGGATTTTACTCTCGTACAGAATACCTGAAATACTTGGAAAATATTGGAAACAATTTTCCAGAAGTCCTTTCGGTACTGTCATCGCACTTCTCCTAATATCTTCAAAAGATTTGATTTTTATTAAATTTTTTCAAGGCAAGTTCTAGTGATGTGAACATGAAAAGCTACACGGGAACCGAATCATGGAAATACAGTGATATTTCAAAACTGGCATTTGTTTTTTTTCGTCAAAAAACGCTTGACTAGAAGTACTGTGTGGGAAGGCGAATTGTCATGATGTGAAATACACTTATCTTACCAAAGATCTGTTCGTATTTCAGACGATTCAGCTGCCTTAAACGTCTGAAAACTTTGCTTTGTCCAGTGTTTGTTTTAGCGGAGCAAAGTAGTAACAGGCAAAGTTGGTATTATAGACTCTAGACTTTTCCATTAAAATCTTTGGCGTTTTCTTTGTGGCTCGTAATTGATGACACAAGTTTTACCACCAATCACAATATTCTTTTCAAAAAAGTCGGAATTTTCCAGTGTTCTTAGTAGAACATTTCTTTTGCTACTTACTACAAAACGTACTAAATTCCAAAGACTGCTTGCAACAAAACCTCCGTGTCGTGTATTTACGTGGCCAAACACATGCCATCTCACCATCATTGCCAGTTGTTGGATAAGCCAACAGCCTGATGCTCATGTTGATGACGTTTTACGTTTCTGTCTGTTACTAGGTCGCACAAAGAAGAAGATACAGAAGCTCGTCACTATCATTAAGCTCGTGATTGCGGCTTTACTCATCAAACTGAAGATCTTCACACTCCTGTATGTGTTCGGGAAGCTGATGGAGTTCAAGATGGTAATCCTGGTGGGTATCAACACGCTGATAAACGTGGTGAAACTCTTCCTAGAGTGGAAGAAGAGTAAAAACCCGAACAACGTCGTACACTACGAAGAGGCGCATCACGAACACATCCACGATAGCAATCACTTCGATAAGGGGGACAAGGGCTGGCTTGGGGGGCTCTGGTCCAGAAACGATTTTATAGGAGGCCGTTCTCTCACGGACTCACACGGCCTGGCTTACTCAGCGCACAGACCAGTACCACAGTAACAACGTAACAGCAGTTTCAGGGTTCAGTCATGTACGGCAGGCATACACTCTCAAGACAGGAAATCAACAAAACAGCTATGGAACAAAATACCGGCGAATATTTAAGCTAATTATAAATTATCATCCAAACACAGGCGATTCTCCTTGTACCTGTTTTCGCTATGCGGTTTTATTTTAGTATTATGAATAGTAGCGATATCGAATAAGTAGCCAAATTTTAAAGCCTATTTATAACCTGAACTAAACCTTCTCACGACTTAATAGGGAATCTGATGCAGATGATAAACTTGGCATCAACGGATTCTGGAGCCAGTTTAACACCAAACAAGCAGCTGTTGTTCGTTTCCAGTTTTGCACATTTTCGTTATGAGCAGGAAAGCAATCCACGTGTATAACGAGAGTCTCCTGCATATTTGGTATTTCATCCATTAAGTGAAACTACAGATCAAAGATTACACCTATATACAATATACTATATACCTAAAACAAACTTCAGAAACAGAACAGAGCGCTCCTTGAGGCTCACAATTCCGGTCTAGTTCTTGGAAGTGAAACATGAATTATGACGAATGACAAAGAAATAACACAAATTAACACGTCATTTGATTTATTATACTCGTATCAATATTTACGGTCACTAAAAATGAAGAAACAAGACGTAACTAGACAGTACACACTTAAAATAACAAAGTCGTCTAAACCGGAGACAACATTTAAAGACGCAAGAGGACAGAATTCCTGAAATCAAATAGACATAGTATGCTCCAAGAGACACACGCAACATCTACGAATATACGGCAAGACGGAATAACTAAAGTCTGTAGTGTAGCATCCCGGTGTGTTACGTTGATTCTTGGTTTATCTCGTCGGTCACAAGAAAAATAGGAAGGAAAAAAAAGCAAGATAGAACAACTGAACTTTGGAACGGGCTTTAAAGCATTCAAATCTTTCACAGTTAAGGACACAACTAGCTGGTAAAACGTTAAGGTTAAGTAAGCTACCCCTTTAATCTACCTTATGTCTTGCACACGAACTGACGAGATTTCCGTTGTCTCATTCCTTGATGTTCCGAATATAATTACCCCCAAAAATAACGTATAAATACTGTACAATGGAAAGTAAACTGATCTACACGTAATTAGATGAATATGACAATAAAGCAAATTCAGCAACAGAGCAAAAACACAATTATAGACCTTTGTAACGAGTTAGTCAAGAGTTTTAAAATCCAAACTCTAATGATTAGTGCATGCAGAACAACTTCGGCAGTTCTTTTATGAATGTTGTCTCTTTGAAAGAAAAAGAACGAATTCCAAGTCTTTAAACTCAAGTTTCTCAGCAAAACATTCGGATCGACGAAGGATGAAGCCAGATAAAACCTTCGTGATTTAATATGGATCAATTAGCACTTTCATGACGACGGTAACAAGAAGGCTGGGTTTGTGATTACGATTAGGCGAACAAGGAATGGCCACAGAAAGTTGGTGGCGAAATGGCTCTGAAAATTTTCACTCGAAAGACGGAAGTAACTGGAACTACCTTAGGATAGTGTCCGAAAGCAGGCTTTCGTTTCGGAGGTGTAGAACACTCGGGTCGTACTACGACAATCTTAACGTAACCCATGTCTTGAAGCCACCCATCTTAGATGCAGCTGCCACCCACCAGTTGAAAATGTAGTAACTTGGTGAAAGTCAAAATACGAATGGCATAATGCCATATTAATTTATATGTAATAATATTTATTCATTTATTTATTGAATAGGCTTAATGTGTTTCATAACTTAGTAACTCTAAGGTTGTAAAGAGAGAATAAACAGACGTCACTGCGCTAC